GATGAATTCATCATGCACAACCCCCCCCCCCCCTCCCTACCCCCAGGCCTCCGTTGCTATCCCACCCGCTACTCGGGAAACAGAAGGAAATCGCACTCAACACACTTGTGCGTTGGTGCCTTTCCTTCTGTTTCTCCTAGCTATTGCTAGCTACCCGGGCGGTTTAAGACGAATGTCCCGCTCGCGTTCTACTTTCGTTTAACTAAGTGGGCCTCGTAACTACCCTATTTTTCTTTCTTGCCCTCTTAGTCTGCTCTTGTTTCGTTGCTTTTTCTGTCTTTCTAAGGCTTTTTAGGTGTCTACTAGTTCTTCGTTGCGCCAACAATTTGGCGCTTTTTGTACAAATGTTCCCCTGGGAGTTAGGACGCTACTGGAGGCCCCTGGCCTTACTACTACTTTGACCGCGCCAAAAACGGCTCTGTGTGTGTGTCCACCCCTGGGCAAAAGGTTTTCGTCCACCGGTTCAACGGTAGGGGGTGTCTTGAAGAAGCGCCGAAGCCGGCGACTTGTGTGTGTCCACCCCTGGACAAAGGGTTTCCTTCGACCACTCCAATCAGGCAGGGGGCTCACGGGTCTGTTCCTGGCGTGAGCCAACGAAGCTCCAGGTTCAGACTAGGATATCGAAAGAGGACGCTCTTTCGACGTACCTGCAACCTGAACTTTTGACCACGCTGTCTAATCTGCTTGGTTTGTTTCCATGGTTTTTCATGATACCCTCCCCTAAACCATTTCTTCCCCAGCATTTGCGCCGCTGATTTGCTTGCTGCCGCCTTCGTGACAACAATGTTAAACCTTTCAAGTGCTCGGACCTATGCACCTTTCTGTTCTCTCACCTTCCTTCCCAACGTGACTTGCGTTAACTGAAAACCAGTGTCAGAGTGTGTGTCCACTCCTGTCCCAAAGGAACAGCAGGGGCGTGTGACACTCTTATCCTATCACAGCTGTGGATTGCTGATATGAAGCTGCAGAGCTTACTGAGATCAAACCAGAGAATGACATGCCATGCTGCTAGGTATTCACTGTTCAGAACAACATACCATGCCGCTAAGTATTCATAGGATGTCTCTTGCTTTCTCTCCTGCGGTTCTTTCGTTTTTTGGCTTTCTTTCGTTGCTAGGGGCTTTTCAGGTTAGAGGTTAACTTTTAGTCAAGTGCTAAGTATTCACTTGTACGTTTCACGCTGAGTAATTCATGCACGGTATTGTTTTTCTCCTTCTAGGATTCTTTCGTTTCTCTCAGGTTTTCGTTCGTTGCTAGAGTCCGTCAAGGGTGCGCCGATTTCGGCTTTCTGGCCGGCGCCTTTCAACAAAAAAAACACGCACACACACACACACACACACCGCACCTTTTCTCTCCTTGCCTTCTTTCGCTTGTTAGGTTTTCTTTCGGGCTTGTTGGGTTGCGTTTAGGCTCGTTTAGTCGACACACTTTGTCCCCCTCTCCCCACGGAACCAAAAAGAGAGAGAGAGCGCGCCGATTTGGCACTCTGTGTGTGTGTGTGTCCGCTCCTGTCCCAAAGGAACAGCAGGGGCGTGTGACACTCTTATCCTGTCCCTGGATGACTAACCCACTAATTTGGGGTCATAGCTGGGAGCTACGGTGACTTTCTACTCTACTGGGTGATTCTTATGTCTCGCCCGCAAACAGGAGGCAGGGTTCGTCGGCAGACGTGTCTATCGGTTCCGTTTTCTTTCTCTACTGCGATTCGTCTGTCTCGCTCCCTAGCTAACCTTTTAAATCTACTCTAGTTACAAAAAAGAAGGCTTTACTTCCTTTTTACCTACTTAGAGCGATTCACTTGTCTCGCTCCCTTATGGAACCTACCTCTATGCATGCCGTTAATTCAGGAGTGCTAAGTATTCAGTAACTAGCTTCCGGCTTTTCGGAACTGATACAGAGAGCATAGATCTAAGCGTGCATATTCCTGAGCGTAGATGACCGAATTCACACATCATCAACCCCGAACGATCGAATCGGCATCCATGGCTTTGTCAAAAAATATGCTGGGTCACAGGATGAAATGCTCAAAGACTTCAACCCAAGCACCTCGAACCGACCTCAAGTGGAATCAGTCATCCTTCTTTTTGTCGTTGAGTTTCTTCAAGACAGACCAGGCAAGGTGAGGGGTCAAAAAATAAGTACAAAAAAATTTCGACGGGTATCAAAAATAAAAAATAAAGGACACATAAGAATATTCCAAGTGAGCAATGAAAGGAAAAGGAGACAAGGACAACAACAGCAGAGCGGGCGACCAGAGGACCATGAAAATGAAAGGACATTTGAAACTAATAATCTAAAAAATCCCTGTGCGAATTCGACCTTTCACATGGACGTCTTTATCCTTTAGGGATCCCACTCTCTGCCAACCTGTTACTCTCTAAAGAATCAGCATCCATCAGAAAAAAACCTCTAAAAAATGAGTTTAGAAGTACAAACACTAAAGAATCAGACCTTCTCAACCTAAAAATGACAACGCCATCATCAACCTAAAGAATGTGACATTCCATGTTCGAGTCGAACTATCAGAAACTGTCGCTCCTTCTTCCAAATCTAACACACTGGTTCGGCAGTCACAAAGACTTGCCATGGTCCCCAAGCAACTTCCCTCAAGCAACCCTAAACCTCAGGCTTTTCAATTTAGGCTATGCAGTGGGTTGGGACCACCATTAATTTCATATCTATAAAATGACTCTCAGGACCCCCCCTGCAGAATGGACAGGGGGATCAATAGACAATAATAGTGAAAAACAAGAATATATATATATATATACGAGTATATATACGCAATAACAAGAACCTAAAGAAGCAGGGAACGTCGATATATACAGGTGCTTTGTTGTTTTGTTTCTGATTCTTTGGAGGCTGTTTTGTGTTTTTTGTCATGGTTTGATGTAGGTTAATATAACATAGAGTCCCTACTATTGGAAAACAGCGGCTCACAAAGGAAGGGAACTAGAGGCCATACGTAACCATATAGAAAATCATAGAAAAATGTTGAAAAATGTTGAAATATGTGTTCAATTGTTTTCAAGGTTCTTCCAGGAATCTGGGGCGTGTTCTAGGTTGAGTTTCTGATTCTTTAGAGGTCGAGCGGCTGTGGACCCTTTACTGAAGGCCTTTGGTACCCTAAAAAATTGATCCAACTCATTGAGTTCTTTGAAAGTATAGGCCCAGACAATTCTTTAGTGCCTACCACCTCTACGTTTGGATGGGTTTCAATTTTGGGAAAGCCCGGCTGGCCAACCAGGAGGATGTCCAAATGACTTTGCGGAGAGAAAGATTGGAGAGTACGCAGAGCTTGTTGGAGCAGATGCTTTCTACTTGGGTGTTGCAAATGCTCTCATGTTTGCAGAGAAAGATGGCAAGTCTTTTAGTTGATATCTCAGAAAACCTTCAAGTCTTCCAAGTACATTATATGTGTGTAGTTATTTGTAGTATATTTCTTTTGGCGAACAGCGGCGAACACAGCCCAGTGGAGCACAGAATATCTGCTATTGAGACCTATTGAAGAAATGTGAACAGGAGCTGCCTCTCGAATCGCCTGCATTGGCCAGTCCAAAGCGCTTCACTAAAGAATCAGACACTGACCCCCTGACATTTCAAAGTGCAAACACCCATGTTCCAGTTGAAGCAAATCAGGGTGGTTGTTCGTCTGGGTCGCGTTCTTTATGACATCCTGGGTTGGTCTATTTTTTAGGCTAAATTCGCAGGAGGATTCTAAAAACATCTAAAAACTTAGGCGAGGGTGTGCGATACTTGGTGTGGATATGCGATGGGGTGACCTTTACAAAGTCGGTCGTGGCAGGCCCACCGCATTGGCCAAAGTAGTGCAGATTTCGTGGCGCCAAAGCGGGCTTGCACACACAAAAGCCACCAGACGCTGAAAGCACGACAAAACACATCGTCATCGAAAACTACACACCCTATATTGCCCAGTGAAAGGATGCTTTCAGCCGCTTGCAAAAACAAAATCAATAAGACTTAGGCGAGTGCGCGCTACTTTTTGTGTGAGCGATGGGTGCCTGGGTGACATTTAGACTATCTGTCGTGTCAGGCCCAGCGCATTGGCAAGAGTAGTGCAGATTTCGTGGCGCTGGAGGGGGGTTGGGGGGAGGGCACGGCGCCCCCCAGAGCGAACCAAACATCAAAAGCCAGCAGACTCAAGAGGCACCACAAAATATATGGATCACCATTGAAAACTACACACCCCATTGCCTCATCGATGAAGGGCACTCAGAAAGTGACGCAAGGACCAAGGCAACCGGTAGCGCTTTGTTTTCGCAAACCTCAGGTGTTTGACCAATATTTATCAATGGACCACGAGGCCAGCGGACCAGGACAAGGACCAGGAAAGAGACCGGGGGACCGAAGGACTAGGTCACCAAAGGACCAGGGCACCACAGGACCAGGGGACCAATGGACCAGGGGACCTACTCAGGACTATTTTTGTTTGATCATGTTCATACTTGTTTATTGATTCTGGATCCTGTTTGGATCGTGATAGGTGTTTCTTTTGATCCTGTTGTTATCAATTAGATGCCCACCAGGCTCAACCGCTCGACCCACCTTGCAGCGGGGAGGTAACGCCAGTGAATTCAAGCTGTGCCCAAGGAGTTGCCTCTGTCAAGAGGAATCATCATGATTAAGGGCAAAAATGTACTGCTGAGAACAGAGACAAAACTCCTGACTTTGATTAGTTCAGAACCCTTGCCTGCATGCCAAACAATCTTTCAGATTGGTGAATCAACCTTTGCTTCCTTGCCTGCACCATGTTCAGGTGCTTTTGTTTTGCCAGAAGAACAATTCACACCAATGACGAATTGCGCATGAGGGGCTGAAACAACATGAACAACCACCTCCACTTCAGCTGTGCACAACTCAGATCAATCCCACACAGCTGCGTGATCACGACTCCAAAAATGTCGTAGTGAAAACACTAGCAGCACTAATTAGCGTCGTGGTTCAGGAGGACCTTCCGCATTTGTTACGCATAGCTGTCCAAGAATTGTATGAACCAGTATTACTGCCTGTCCCTTGCCTGCCATTTGCCAAGGGCAGCAGGAGCAGCCAAGCGAGCATGGCTCATGGCGAGTAGGGATTTTCAGGGGGCACTAAGCACTATATAGTTGAAATCTTGAGAATGTGCCTGTCAACATGTCTCCAAAGATTGTCATGATCCCACAGTCTTTCACTAGGACCTGTTGGATCAATGAGTCCAATGAGTCTAATGGGTCGCTGGAATTCTGGCCTGTGCTGGCCTGGCCTGTGTCGGCTTCATGCTCTCTGCTTTGAAACCTGTGCTTCTCCGAGTCTTGATCAATTCTGTCATGAGTTATATTATAGGTAATCTACAGTAGGTGCTTTGTCTGAGCAACTGTCAAATCAAGTGTGCGTCTAGTTCGTTGCTTCCACTCTCCACAACAAAACCGTGACACTGGGACCATTTTGGGATCTGGGAATCAATCAAAGGCTGCTAAGGAATGAGCTGTGCCTGGAGCACGAGTTCGAAGCCCTCTACGGCTCTCCAGCACTGCTGGGTCGCAAGGGATCGGGCTGGTGGCACTACCGTTGGAACAGGTCACAAAACAGGCCTTCTTGTAGTCCTGTCGTTACAAGTTAAACAGCCTGAACAGCCAGTCTTGAAAATGATTTGCCTCAACCCAAGTTTTTGAGTACTGCGAGAGCAGCTCCAGGACATGCCCGCCCTGCTTCTAAAACTGGCAAGGCGCAAAGCTTGTCCAAACGCAGGGCAGGAGCAGGTTCTTTCAAGCTAAAGGGTTGGTTGGGTTCACTGTAGTGTTTGATTGCTGATCTCAAATGCACCCAATCTGGCACATGCAGAAAGGAGCCCAGCTGCACTTCGAAGCTCACATTCAGCAGAGACTGGCTCAAGCTGGAAAATGAAGGTGACACGCCAGCTATGTTGAAGCTATTGACCCCCACCGTAGGTGACCTTGCACAGGCTCATGTCCGTCCATGAAATATGACTCAAACTTCTTTCCGCATGCTGTCCTCCCCAAATGGCTATAGCTACAGTTCTGGACATTCAAACGTCATCAACAACGAAGGGGGGTGCAAACCATTGCAGTACCACTCTCAAGAGTCTTGCAACTACCAATCCACAGGCCTTAAATCTCTGCACTGCCTCCACGCAGTAGGTCAGGTCTGCCAGCATGCCTCAGACCAGCCGGCTACCAGGGCACCACTCAGCTGACAAGGCAACCAGGAATCTCTGGCCTTGCGACACGGCCTTCTCCTTGTCCAGCACAGATTTTCGTGCCCTGTAGCTGTTCTTGTCCTCTTCCTGAAGTTGCGCACATGTATGGCCAAATTGGGTTTTGCCAATTTGGCAATGGAGAAAACCTACTGTAATCTGACTGTCCTGCAGCTCCATCTGAGCCATGACACCTTCCAGCCGCCGGAGCATTGGAAGGAGGAAGAAGGATTCCTTGGCTTTTTGGCCAAACAAAATTATGACATGTTAGATCATGTAGCCCCGCTTGTCTCTGATTGCGACTTCGGCCCCTGAGCTGCCCAAACTGGAGGCCATGGTTAATAGACAAAACTATATACACCCTCATCCACCCCAAACAGTTGCAAAGCATTCGTAACAAAATCGAGGCACAGCAAGCACAAAGCAGGGGCAAACTGCCAAAACAAAGTGGACATCACATAAGGAAACCACGGCAAACGACAGGAACATTTGAAAGAGAAGCACAGAGTAAGCCGTGCTGGGAAACAACAAGTAACTCATGGGAGCAAAGGAACCAGGAGTGAAGGACAAACACATGGAAGGCATTGAAGGCAATGATGAAAAACAAGACCACAAGAAACAGGACACGGCAACCCAGCTGGGAGGCTGGGAGGCATAAATGAAAGAAAATACAACACGGACTGGCAGACACATGAAAGGAAATGAGGCGCAAAGCGCACACAGCAGCCCAGCATTGGGAGACAACAACTTTCATTCGCCAAAGGGGAGCCAGCAAACCGGGAAGTGGACACCACAGCCCAGACTGAGAGGGTCACATTTGAATGCATTGAGAACCCCAACAGTAAATTGCATTCTCCTCCTTGCAGCCCTGGCCTTTGAACCAAAGACGAATCGGCAACTATGAGTCGGCGACCAAAAGCGCCAGATTGACAACTAAAGCTGAAAACAGCTGCGCCAGCAACTAGAACGGATCGGCCCGCAACTAAAACAGTGGCCGGGCTGGAAATTCTATTTCTCTATGGCAGCAAACTGAAAAAAATTATCGTGACCCCTGTGCGCAGCGACTGTGGTGTTTTTTCTTCCCTCACCTCAAGTCTTTGGTGAGCAGCCTTGGCTGCAAGGCTTCTGGCCTCAGTTGCTTCTTGTTTTGGAGATTACGTTGCAGGCGTTGTGGCTGAGACCTACGGTACGCCCAATGGGCTGGATCAAGCCATGGCAAAGCAGCGGGCTTATCAAGACGCTGTAGTTCAAGGTGGCAAGTCAAATTCTGAGATAATCGAACCGAGTGATCTTTGGATTCTGGCGCAACTTGTCAACATTGTCTCTGCGAGAGGACTTGATATAAGATGCAGAAGCCAAATCTCGTACAGCAGACAGTTGAGGATTGTTCCATTTTTGTCACTGATGCAGAGTTCGGATTGCTCCAGGCTGCCTGAAGCAGAAACCTGTTTTTGCCCGTCGGGTCGACAGGGAAGAGATGGAGGCATGGTCACCAACAGCACACCTGGGTCACAAAACAGTTTCTACGTTGAACAACTTCTGTGACAAGGGTCTGCGACAAGGATGATTTTGGGATGAAGAACTTTGATCCTGGCCTTGCGGCTTTTAACCGACAACACCAATTGCAAACAGGAGCTGCAGCAAATGACCTGCGCCGGCCGCTTCTTGTTTGCACTTACGTTCCGGCCACAGTGACGCGCGAGGTGTACAGCCCATGTGATTGCGTTGTCTTCTCGCCTTGTCCCACCTGCATATTCTTTTGATTGCCTCCAGGAACTGAGCGAAATCACCAAAGCGACTTCTCGATCGTTTCCATGATTTTGAGCCCCAAGCAGGTAGGAACGAAACTCTGGCTTCTTGGTCAATATATCATAGCTCAACGCCCTTTCAAAAAGGCGCTGCGAAAAATCTTCCCAGCACTGCACCATCCCAACAGTATTCAGCACTGCGTGCAATCGCACTCGCACGCGAACCTCAGTATTCACGAGTCATTCTTGTTTAACGACTCCTTTGCCCGCGACTTGCGACGTTCCTGCTCTTCCCTTTAACGGTCTAGAACAGGTTGTTCATCTGCCAGCTGATATCTGGATGATCGAATGGCAAAGCGAAGCAAATCCATCGGCTCGAAACGCACAATACATTGTCAAGTTCTTCAGCTAAATCAAACGTTGTGTTTATCACTAGGCAATTTTTTGTATTATCATAGTGAGGGTGTTGTCAAGTAAAACTTTGGTATGTCTTCTGCATTGTCCCTATCGAAAGTTGCGTAGAAGATCCTTAGGAAAACCTGTCGCACTTCTATGAAGTGTATAATAAACTTTTGATGTCTCCCTCGACTTAGTCTTGAAGGACAAAAAATCAACAAACCAGGTCTTCTTCTCCATCCCTTTCTCTGCATCAAACAATTTTGTCTTGCTTTTGCTACTACCATCGAGCGTCCACAAAAATATATAGCACCTGAAAAAATTGTCTCAGCCCTCTGCATGTTCTTTGCTGCTTGTAGATGTCTATAATATTGACTTAGACATGCATGTGGGAGGCAGGGTCGTAAGCATATGAATATAAAATATATGTACATATATATATATATATCCGCCGACCCCACCCAGAGGATCCTGGACCAGAGTCCTGGTCCAGAGGTAGCTTTCAGGAGAAAAAGGGAGACTGGATCTCCAGATGGAGGCCTGTAGAAGAAGACTTTTAGCGCCGTCTGAAGGTGACGTTAGACATCCCGGGTTTCGTTTTCGGGGGTTGTTTGGGAGTAGAACTAGATGGGGGAAAGCCGTGCCGAAGCCGGTGCTTGTAGCACGGGTAGCGGGTATCGGGCGGCGTCTAGAAAAGGAGACCGGATCTCCAGATGGAGGCCTGCAGCAGAGGATTTTTAGCGCCGTCTGAAGGTGACGTTAGACATCCGGGTTTCGTGAATGAGACGGGGGAAAGCTGGCGGTACAGATTGCCGGGAGCCTGAGGAGTGCGCCTCTGGAGCTCCATCCTGCCGTGAGAAAGCACGGCTTCTGCAAGTGGACTAGAAGAGAAAGCACGACGTTTGGAAGAGGACTAGAAGAGGAGAATAGAGAATAGTAGTAAGGCCAGGATCCCCGAATTGTTTCCTTGCTCCTCGTAGTAAGGCCAGGATCCCCTAGTACTCTCCTTGCTGCTCCCCGTTGGAGACCCAGCACACACTATATATATATATAGTGTGTGCGTGCTTGTGTGCGGAGTTGCGGAGTTGGTCTTACAGATTGGCACTCGGCACCAAGCTTCCAACCGTTTTAGGGAGTCCTACTTTGTATTATCTGGCTGATTTCCTCATCCAAGCTTGTACTGTACTATCTACCTTGGGATGTGCTTAGCAGTTATTACGAAGGGTGAATCATCAAAGCCAGCCGGAAGTAAGACTCACATTATCAGTACTTTGCCCCCTGCACATCAGACACGCCACTTTTTAACTCTCGCAGCCCTGGAGTGGGGAGAAATGCGACCCGGACCAGCACAGCAAACCAGCCGTGCAAGGGTAGTAAAAGGAGGAAACCAGCCACCCCCAAACTTACCTAAAAGGTCGCAACGAATAAGCACCCAAGTAAAGAAAAGACACCGCCAAGTAAAGCACAGTGGCGGAGGTTCACACAACCGCCATCAAACGTTGCCCAACTCCAAGAGCAACCCCACTTGGCTGAACTCAGGCATACAAGCAAATGGTGACCAGAACGTCAAACCAGCAGACTGGAACAAGTCATTGCAAGCAAATCCCCGTTTGTTGTACGCTCGCGTACACATCCCGTGCATGATGTGCATGGGGCATAACATGAACAAAAGCAGCTGTTTCCAAAAATTTGGCAGGTGTCCCAAATGTGCCTCCACCCACACGGGGCAGGCAAAACCGTGATGAAAGGCTCTATGAGTCAGAATCTGTGCATTTGATGGTGTTGAGTGCCTTGGCGAAGAGTTGATAGTCCTGCTAATGCGTTGCGAGGTTAACAGCAAGTTGCACTTGAGGACCCAAGCTGCCGAGTCTGGTGGGATACCCCAAGAGTTGCTTGGCAAAGACTGTACGGGCGCTGCACAACCAGTATGGAGAGAAAAAGACTATGTCTCTCTACCCATCTAACGTGGACACGTGATCGCAGCTCCCAGCTCCCGAGTCGAGCAGCCGAATAAAGCTGCATGTGATCAGCCACCACCTCAGGAAAAAGGAATGCTCAATGAGATTGACTCAATGGCTTGAAGGTGTTCTGTGGTGCAACCTGTGATAGAACCAGCAACCAGCAGAGCCTGGACACGACAATTAATTGAAGGACCTGGGGTCACTAAGTCCAACACGCTGCGAATTACAGCAAAGGTCTGCTCAATGATCCTATGAGCGCCCAGGTTTGCAACCAAAACAATGATCACTTATATAATTATGGATATATATATATGTATATATGTGTGTGTGTCGGATCGAAAAGGAAATAGAACAGCAGCAACAACAAGCTGCAAAGCTGTCCTTTGGACCATCTTGACTGATTCATTGGCCATGACGTCGTCGTCAGGGATCTGCTTCACTTTTTCCCTTGCAACAAAGTGAAAACTTTATCTGCTGGGTTGGATGTTCTTGTTGATGTGGAAACTATGTTCAGTGGAGCGGAAACTGTTTTCAAGGGACCAACATGAGAGCCATGTGCCTAAGCAACCAAACCACACTTTTACCACCAGAGTTCCAAAATCACTGAGGTAGTGAAGCAAATGTGCAAACGCAACAAACCAGGTGAGCAGTGTCCTTGGCAGTGATGGTTGTGTATTCCGCCGACCAAAACATCTTGCTGTATTCCTCAGCTTGGACCTCAAAAAACCCTCACACCCAGCCTCAGCGCCGTTTGCAAAGTCCCTCTGCCATTTCGCTCTTGAACTATGCGCGCCTCTCACAGGTTTTCACATGTGGTTCCGCCCTCTTGAGCCCAATTCCAAACAAGAACATGCACTTGTTACTAATAGCTTCTAGCTACTAGTAGCGATGCACTTG